TATTATTTTTTTTTATTTTATCAGTTTTTAATTTTTTTAATCAATTTATTTCATTTTATTTTCAATATTTTAATTTAAAGTTTTTTGAATTTATTTAATATAATTTAATTTTATTTGGTTTTATTTTTATTCCATTTTTTATTTTTTTATTATTTTTTATTTTATATTTTTTATATTATTTATGTGTTTCTCTTTAATTTATTTTTTTCGTTTTATGCTTTTTTTCTATTTTACTTTATTTTTGTTTATTTCTGTTTATTTTACTTCATTCTATTTTTTATTTTATATAATTTTCATTATATCATTTATTTTATTTTATTTATTATTTTGTATTTTTTATTTTCTTTAATTTATTTAATTTTATTTCTTTCATATACATATATTGCTTTTATTCTATTTTTTTTTTCTATTTAATTTAATTTTTGTTTTACTATATATTGTTTCAATTTATTATATTTTATTTTTAATTTTATTTTACTTTATTTTATTTTATTTATTATTTTGTACTTTCTTTTCTTTATTTCATTTTATTTTTTTGATTCTATTTTATCTAGTTCATTTCATTTTTGTTTTACTTTATAGATATTATTTTAATTTATTATATTTTATTTTTAATTTTATTTTACTTTATTTTATTTTATTTGACCCGTAAAAGTCCATCCTATGTTCCATTAAATACATAAGTTATGATTATATGAGTACAGAAACTCAAGAAAATGTTTTCATGCTGAGTAAACTTTGTTTTTAGTATTTAATTGGCTTAAAAAATGAGGTGTACAAAATTTTTCACTCAAACCCAACATGGCTGCGTGGAAAACGCTTCACCGAATGCCTCAACAGACTCATTATCAAGCACTTTAAGTATGAAGAGCTGCACTGCCACTGCCACGTTATGACGAAAGTCAATATGTTGCATGATGAATGTAAATACGTACATGCATATATATAAACCTTTGGCATCCGCTGCAGGGAAAGCGTATAAAAATCAAATACCACACAATAAAGGAATAAAAGTCTTCGTTTGTATGTATTTAAGTAATCATAAAGGTGTGCGCTACGCAGCGCGTGCAATCATCAACAACAACGTGATCGGCGCGCTGATCGTGTAAACTTCAAATGCCGAGCGTATAATTCAATTAACTGACGGTCGGTTAAGAAAAAAACAAGAAGAAATATTATATGCAATGTAATCTTCAAACATCATCTTACAGCATATTAAGTGCTTGCTAGCTCAACTACTCCAGCAACTTCAGCGATCAACAGTAGAAATGTAAACGTCAGCATAATATCAGATTCTTCGAACAGAAATGGAGGTGAGCTCATTGTGTAGGGTCATCGAATTGGCAATATATTCGAGTGTACATATCTATCCACAATCTACGTCGCTCAAAGACCTACTTACGTATTCCGTGGCATTTGCCTTTAGAATAAATGCATCACGGCAGTGAATTGACTGACGTTTGTAAATAAATTATTGTTCCTGCTTCGAAAGCGCTTTGACCGCTTAATTTCTTGTGCAAGTTTTTCCGCTCTAAATTCAGATAAGTTTCTGCGGAATAGCTCTACACTAGGTATTTAAAAAAAATAGTAGCCAAGCCTTAATCAATATCTTCTCCATATCGCACATAAAATATAGGATAATCCTTCTTGACGGTAATTGTAAAAGACTAAGGTTGAGGAGCTTTTCGAGAGCTGAATTTCAGCGAAGTCAATCAGCATCAGACCATTAGAGAGGCATCGTCATGGCGTCCAAAACACTTTCTATGCGTGCTCTGGCGTTGAAATCGTCAAGCATGATCTAGATATCGCGACAAGGACGCGTTCCAAGTGCGCTTAGAAGATGATTTTCGGCGCAGCTTATGTGTATCGGCAAATTGTAGGTAGATGCTCATCTTTCTTCATCTTTATTGGTGTTGACCACGCTTACGCGATTATAACAGAATTAAAATTAATTATAGCGCGCCATTCATCCCTTTCCTGCGCTGTTTGGCGCTAGTTGGAAATACCAAGTGAGGCCACGTCACTTTCCACCTGATCCTACCAACGAAGTGGATGTCTTCCTCTTCCTCTGCTTCCACCAGCGGGTACTGTATCGAATACTTTCAAAGCTGGAGTGCTTTCATCCATTCGGACGATATGACCTAGCTGACGTAGCCGCGCCTCTTCATTCGCTAAACTATATCAATATCATCATATAGCTCATACAGCTCATCGTTACATAGTCTGCGGTATTCGCCGTTGCTAATGCGCTAAGGGCCCAAAACGGACTCATCAGCTGTTGGCCTTGTTCACACCTCTGCGCCACAAAGAAGGACGACCATGATGAGCGACTAGTAGAGTTTGTTTCTTGTTGAGAGGACTTAACTTTTCAATTGCCTACTCAGTACAAAGTACCACCTGTTGGCAGGAATGATTCTGCGTTGGACGTTCGTCCACCTGGTTGAATTTCAGAATTCCGCGACAGAGTCCCTTTACCACCATAAATCCAACAACAAATTTGCGCTTCTTTGTAAGGCAGCTGTCATAATGGTAATAAGGCTGACCTTTTCCGTCCTTAACGTCGGAAATATTAGAATTTAAATTCCCTTAAATCCAAGTCCTTAGTGTATATGCCTTAGTCGTCTTTAGAAGAAGAAATCTTCAGAAACCGGGCTAAGTCTGGCACAATGATTAAAAAACGAAGTGAATGTATTCTGCAGTGTACCACGACAAGCCGATAAACCTGCTATCATTGAACTAATAGAACACAGTTTATTTGTCGTCTGGAGTCCCAAGTCACTGCTGACAGTCATAATTTCGAAATTTCTTGACTACTTCGCTCACCTAGGCTTCGAAATCTTAAGCTGTAACACTCTTGCCAATAGGTGGTAGTTTGGACTGAGTAGGCCTCAACAATAAGGGGGAAGAATAAATTGGTGAATATCTTAGTTAGTTAGTTAGCATTTCACATCTACATTTGAAGACTTCTTGGCTCAAATGCGAAATCCAAATCCAAAAAAAAATATAACAAATTTCAATTAAATCGCTTTTTGCGTTAAGCCTTTTCATATTAATCTGAGCGATCTCAATAAATTCTTAAAAAAAAACACAAAAAATAAATTCATTTATTTACACACCAGCGACGTGTGATTCCACACTCTGCGGCCGCCATCGATGCCGTCGCCTTGCCAACTTTGAACAATTAAATTATATGAGTATTGATATTGTTTGCAGTCATGCATGATGTATACGTACTTTTATATAAGTATGTATGCATCCACACATCAGTTTATCGTTGCAAATTGTTGGCGGCACTTGTGGCGTCGCTGATGTCTAGCTTCCTGTCGCATCGCCTTCGCTGCGGCCGTTGTCATCACATGCACACCGACATGCGCATAAAAGTGATATGCGACGACTTTCCAGCTCCTAATCTTCAACTCTGGCCGCAATGTGCTACCAAGTTGTTGTGCTGCGCCGCCTTTCTAAATTTAGCCATTTGAATTTACTGCGAGCTCCGCGAGCTTCTTTTGCTTGCGCATCGCTTATTTGTTTACTCGTATAAAAATGCAAAACGCGTTCTAGGCGACAGCCGCAGCGGCAGTGGCACTTGCGCATTGCATATGAATTTGCGTTTGTTGTTGTTTTTTTTTTGGCTTAAATGCTTAAAGCAATTACTTAAAAATGCGTAATGCATGCACCGATGAAAATAGTTTATGAAAAAATGCGAGTATGTATGTGCATATGTATACAAAAAGGATCGGTTTGTAAGCTTCGCTGATTAGACGCTGTGTTCGGTGGCTTCTCGAAAGCCGTGCGTCGCATCACAAAAGTGATCGGCAGAAAATATTCCGGTTTATAGAGAGCACTCTCGGCCTCTGGTGACTTGCAAACTTGCAGATTTATGTTTTAAAATTTTTATTAAATATTTTAGATTATGATTGATGCCGCCGTTCGCGTTATTAGCTCGGCACAAATTGAACAATTAATTAAGCCACACACATTTACCACATTAACCATATACTGTACACGGGATAGAGATAAAGGGTGTTTTTTTTTTTTGGCATGTGGTTTTCAAGAAGAAATCAAACGCATATAATTTACCGCTGTGGATCTAGCTCTATTATATCTATCTATTTGCCATTCACTGGCGACTTTACCCTACAAAGAATAGTCCACCGGTGTTAAATCGCACCACCTTGAAGACCGACTACGCGAGATAATGCGCTCTCCGAAAGTTTCGTTCAATAAATTAATTGTTTCAGTGGCTGTATAGCGCCGTCTTGTGGGAACCAAAGGTCTTCCACATAACTATCCTACAATTCAAGCCCGACAAAGTCATTTATTATGGCTTTATAGCCATTTATGAGGACGGAATGGAGTGTCAATAATGGCTTAGGAATTATCATCAACCGAAAAGGGAGCTTCATCGCTGAAAATTAATTTCTTGTGATAATAGGGATCGGCAACTCATCTGACGCCATTCACCGAACAAGCGTCTCGTTTGGTGATTGTTCGGTTCCAACTCTTGCACCAGCTTGATTTAATAATGCCAAAACCAAGGTCCTTCAGCAAAATTAGCTAAAAAGTGCTCCAATTATTGGGCTTGATTCTTCGATATTTTGCTCCACAGCAGCAATAGAGAGCGTCTTCGGTACTTGCTATGCGGCGTCTCTGATGATGCGCATTATCCACTAGAGAAGTTGTGGTGTGAAACCGATCCATAGTTGCTCCGACTCCGCTGGGCTATTATGTCTGACGAGCGTTGGACGCAGCGAACCATTATTTTGTGTTCCGAAGTGTACTCATTATGAAATGGCAACCCAAAGTGAGTAAAAATCAAGCAACAACTGTCACAAAGACTAACTCCGAAATAAATATTGTCTCGCTGAAAACCACATCTCTAAAAAACACCCTTTATATACAGACTTGGTCAGTAAGTCAATATTTACATTCTGCTTCTTCTTTTTCATTCTAAAATTGTTTCATAAAATTGATTTTTTCCTTTTTATTTTGTCTTGCAGATTCTTACGTCAGCTCAAAAGCAACAAAACTCCTTCCAAAGTTGTATTAGTAAAAAGTCGTCACCATTGCTCCCCAACCAGTAAGCAGTACAATGATGAATGGTCAAAGCTATGAGCTGAACCATACGAACGGTGATATTATATCACAGAATCAGCAGAAGGGCTGGTGGACCATAGGCCTGATTAATGGCGCACACAGGTATATGACGGCCGAGACTTTCGGTTTCAAATTGAATGCGAATGGCGCCAGTTTGAAGAAGAAACAATTGTGGACGTTGGAGCCATCGAATCACGCTGAAAGTGAGTATGCAGTTTGCGGTTTGAAGTTTTAGATAAAAACATTTTTTAAGCTTTTATAAATTATTTAGCTTTAAGCTTTTGAATGGGTGCTTTTGACTTAATGGGCGTTAAAAGCTTTACTAAATTTTTACTCTAGCTTTTAGAACATTTTTATTTTTAATATCAGCCCAGCCTTGGTTAAAGCTCCTAAAAGCATACCCAATTTTTCTCCGTGACTCGATATTTTTGTACATATACCGTGTACCGATGTACTGTGGTTTGTGGAAAATTTGTTCGAGAATATTAAGGGAGGACATCTCTCTAGCTAACGTTGTAAATCTTTATCGAAGCTGTGCCGTCTTTAGTTTACCTTGAAGATCTGAAAAAGTCTAACGGCAATGAAGAGCTTTCGATGATTACTCTTCTTTTGCTCTTGTCGAAAACAAAAAGTTTCGTATGTCGCTGCACATAGTGAGATGGAACTGTCGTCTCAAAGTGCTCCTATATCAAGTTGCTGAAGAGTGCTCTCAGAGAGGAATATTGCAAGTGGCAGTATTACTAGGGTCTCTCAAGTCAGGCCGAGTTCTTTGTCTGTTGGAATGGCCGCCTGTCGAGCGGTGCTTATACGTCGTGCTGAATGGATGGAGTCCTTGTAGACGAATACTCCCTTTCTATTTGGCGGCTTGGCTTCGAGTAACTGTTCTTTTTTTTAACGCAAACCACAGATGCTTCGCTGGCTGTGTAAGTGATGCTCCGGCGTCATCAGGATAATTTTCGTCAAAGTGCTAAGGGCGATGTTCGGACAAGCTTTTAACTTCTCTATTTCCGTCTCATTAGTCCGTGGCATCCAAATTAGAGCAGTATAGTTTACGACCCGTCAGTCATAGTACTTCCCTGCCGTCGAGGCGTGAGTACATTAGAAAAATGTTGCCTTATTGCGGAAAGGGGTTTGTCCAGCAAGGACTCATGGTCTGAGTCACTCTGCCACAACAAGTCCGATCCCACATTTTTATGGTATTTTCTCTGTCAACAGCGTTTCTTGGCCAGCGGTGAGCGTCAAAATACTTGGCAGTCGCACCACCCTAATTGAGGAACGGGACATTCCAAGTACATGCCCTTCAAGTTCTCAATGCGTTTACAGAGGTGTGGTCATCATCAAAAGGTAGTACTGCCTCTAATATGACGAGCCGCTTAACTCACCTGTAAGGCCGACTTAATTTATTCAGTTTCCCATGAAGACGTTGACAGTAAAAGCATTTCCTGTTTATTGCCATATTCCAAGCATCTGTTACTAAGTATTTTTTTCACTCATTGACAGCAAAAATTTCTTAAATCTTTTAGTAAAAAACAGATTTTATGGAATTTCGAAGTAAGTCTCAAACAAATATCCGTTTGATAAGCCTTAATGGACTTTCACAGGCATTTTTTACGGCTGCTTGTAGTGGGAACCTGAATTTACAATGTGATGGCTATGTGTTGCTACAAATCGATTTCGACTGGAGACTGCTTGCCGTCAGCTTTTGGGCGGAAATTGCATAAAATAAAGATTCTCACGCGCAGTTCTTCCTCATCGAAGATTTTAAGCTTTTCAAATTTTTAATGCACTTACACTTGCATACATGCACATATGTTTGTGTGAGTAATATATGTAAGTCTGCAATTTAATATTGAGTAAATCATGCCATTGACACTTCTAGTTTGCCAACACGCTCTCATTATTTCTACACTTGTGGTGTCATTTTGCACTCTATTTTCTGTCGTACACACACACACACGCACACACACATGCACAAGTCGGCAACTTTAGTGCGAAAAATTGTTTAAGTAGCAGCAATAGAGTATATTTGTTGTAGTTGCAATTGCTGTTGACCGATTTTGTTGCTTTAACTTGTGTGTTGCTGTGCTGGCGTTGTGTTGGCCAAGTTGATTGCTTCACATGCTGAGTGTTGTTGTTGTTGCTGATTTTTTTGCAGCAGTAGCAGCTGCAGCTCAAGCTAGCAGGCTACTGCTTGTTTGTTGTTCGCTCATAATTTATAACGTTATTGTGGAAAAAAAAGGTGGCAGCATATAACGGCGACCGCCAAACGTCCAACACAGCACCGTTCATTGTTTTTCGCGAGTCAGTGTAGCGCACGGTGGGCTTATGAGGGGTGAAAAATTGCAATAAAACTTATCGCCGATCGCTTTCTTTACCATGCAGGTACTTGCCATGGTCATAAACGCGACTTCTATGCCATATAATGCAATGGTAGGTTGGTGTTTGCTTCCCCATCATACAGCTCCGCCACAAACAATAAAAACAACATTTGAGAAGCCGCGGAGATCACCGTTGCTGCCATAAAGAGTTTAAAATAAATTGCATCCTTTAGCTCCTTGAAAATGCATTTCACCGCCACCCAATGTGCTTCACTATGGTTATTATTGAAACGACTTACAGAGTTAGCAGCAAATGCTATGTCTCGTCTAGTCCTCTTGTTGAATTTAAGGGACTGGCAACAGCTTCAACCGTCCAACAGGCTTTTAATGACTTTTCCAGTGATAAGTTCCAATGATGGCCATAAATTACCTCAAGCCATTTTGCTCTCACAGCCGCAACTCTGAGGATGTTCCGTGAAGACCTCTTCTCTCAAATCTCTTTATAAAAAGCAGAACTACTAGGCTCAGTTGATAAACTTTCAAATTGACTTTAAGTAATAAATTATTATGTATAAATCGCACAACCCTCCTAACCCTTTGGCAAAATCATGAGCCTCCGCAACAAGTTAAACGCACCTGAAGAGAAGAGATTTACTACCTTTGTAAAGAGTAGCACTGAGCAAGGAGTCCAATCCTAGCTATACCCTATTTAGTATTAATTTGATTTTTTTTTTAGATATTGAAGCAGCCGCTGAAGTGATTTTCGGCCGAGTTCCTCTTCCAATTTGTGTTGTGCTATGTGGTACCTACAGTTTATACTAAGCCGCCTCCGTACGGCTGATGGTTTTTTTTTTATAAAAAGCTTTAATTTTATGTCATATATACACAACGGAGGGGTTGAAATTACTGGCCGCGAGGCGACCGCATTTAGAAAATTCAAAAAAAATTTTATTCAAATAAATTTTATATGACATATTTTGGTCTGCCGGTGCGGTGTCGGCCAAGGCAGACATTTATTTAATTTTTTTATTCGAAGAAAAAGTATCACCAGAAGAGATTGGTAGACGGTCGAAGTAAAGTAAAAGAAAACTTTACTAGTATAAAGAGATTTTTTTCAGTGTCTAACTCTAACTCACTAGGAAGTACCGTACAACAAAATATATTTTTTTAAGATCGTAGAAAATCAGAAAGAAATGTTTTGGGGCTAAATAGATTCCAGCAAGTGGAACTGATAGCTGGATTTTTGTGAGGTTAGGTAATATTTTCTTAAACAAACCTCGTTTTAGATATTGCCATTTTCAAAATTATTTCCAACGCATTTTATGTATGATTTTTGAAACATTTTCAATTATTTTTTGAGGTTATATTCCACTGATTGAATCTAAAGGCTTCTGAGATGATTTTTAGGGTTATGTTTTCACAGGAAATATTTAATTTAAGATACAAAAATGCCAGCCTAATCTTGAGATATTATCATAATACATGATTTTTAGCATTTTCTTTTGAAACACATATATATGTATTAGTATAATTTTAGTTGTCATTTTCAGACGTTTTTGCAGTTGTGGCTTTTTAGTATGATAATTATTTTTTTATTTTATATCTTCAAAAACTTTTTCAAATGTGTTTAATTTAATTATTTGTGACAAGCGTCAGATTTAATCCTAAAAGGAAATACCGTAAATTTGATATGGCCAAGAGAAGTATGAAGATCTCTGCACGGCCGACGAAATCTCTTCATCTCTTCTTATTTATTTTTGTTTTGAAATTCTCCTTTAAAATGAACTCTTTCTAATTTTTGCATAACTCACGTTCACCATTTTTGTTTAAAAATGTCTGATTTTGCTCTACTGTGCGCACTTGTGGCATGCCACATGGCGGGCAGCTAAGACAACGCAATCAAATCAGCAAATGAGCACACATAGCGCAACAAATGGTCAATGTGAAATTAATATTGCAATGATAAAGTTGTGTGTGTGTGTAGCAGAAATGTGTTGCACTGTTATCATACTCCAATTTTTCGCTATACATTTTTCTTTCGCACATATGCAATTAAATACAATTAACTGTTGTTGTTGTTGCTGTTCGGTTTATTTAATTTGCTTGCCAGTGATTTATTTCTGTTAGAAATCGAACATGACTTTGTTATTGTCTCATCTTTAGCATTTTCAAATTTATTGTTTCACACACACACATGTAATTTTTCATAAAGATTAGTTTCCAATTATTCGCCATAAATTTGTATGTCCTCCGCATGGCTGCAGTAGTCACAGTGAATGTTGCTGCATAAATCATTGTGCTGCAACATCGGCGAGGGCAAACACAATAGCAGCAGCAACAGCTGCATCGCTGATTGTTGCTATTGCTCCTGTTATTACGATTGCTGGCTGTGCTGGCCGGCAGCAGCTGCGATGTGTCTGCGAAACGGTATGCCTTGTTTGCTGAAGCATTTCGAAATGCTGCCAACTAAAGTAACTGTTCGGTGTGCGCGTTGCCGTGTATGTTTGCACGGAGTTTAGTTGTTCTGATTTACTTGCGCCTCATGTTGTTGGTGCGCAGTGTTGTCAACCGATAAGCAATCAGTTGAGTTCTCAATGCATTGAATTACAAAACTTTTGCGAATTCAAATTCGAATTCACAAAGTGTCGCCATCGATACTGAGACGGAAGACATTGGCCGCGCTGTCGAAGTGTACAAACGCAAATGACAAATCTGACATAGAGGTGTGGCGTGTGCAACTAATTTCATTAGAAAAGTCATGCGGCCACAAACTGACCTGTCTGTATGTTTGTAAAATATCTTTTTGTTACTCACACAATTCTTCAAACTATTTTGAATCGCTTACAAATCTATTTTATCGCCAAAACGTCATGCAAGTAATGCTC